CTCGCGATTATGATAAAAAAAAAAAAAAAAAAAAAAGGAAAGAAAATCATGCTGGGTGAGTGTGTGTGTGTACCCAAAGTCCCAGGAGGAGAATGAAGCAGGGGTTGTGGTGTGGCCGTCCCCTTTGGGGTGATTTCTCACCTTCCTTCTCACTGCCTAATTCTCTGACAAGTGCACATGCCCTGTGGCAAAATCTTAAAAACAAATAAATAAACAAACAGCTGAGCCAAAGTCCTGGCAACATTTAAAAAAACCTTTTAGCTAAAACAAGCATCTCAAAAATACACATTTTAGGCCAGAGACCCCAACAGAAGGGATTATGAAACGTGACTAGCAAGCCTCCCTGAGGACTATTATGCGCTGATTCTGGGCAGGGCCTAACCCAATCTGTAAGTCAGAGCTGGCCACAGGCAAGTGTCACTGGAAGCTTCTCAGCAGTAAGCATAGCCGGGTCTTCCCTGTCTTTTTTTTTTTTTTTTTTTTATCAATCCTGCCAAAACTTCTGCTAACCCTCAGCTGTGTCCCTGCTGCCCCCTCACTTCCTTGAGTTTCACATTTAATATGACACCGAGGTGTTTTAAACAATTTTCATCCCAACACCACTTGTAAGTCCCTTCCTTTCTGCCCCCACCCCTGGGCTCTAACCCGGCATGCGTCACGTCACGCAGGGCTGGGTCTTGCTGACTCACTGGGATGTCTTTACCTGGGCTCTGGAGCGCCAGCTAACGGTGTCAATTCACAATTGTAGCTCTGTGAGTCATGGAAGTGCTCTGACTAATCACCAAGCGCCTATTTTGACTGGTGTGGGGGATGAGGGAGTCATGTAAACGTAATCTGCATGACTCCCGAGAACAGTTCCTACTCAGAGAACTGTCCAAAAGGAAAAAACGAAATAAAAATCCAACCAGATACAACTACTTTATATAAAGAAAAAAAATTAAAAGAAAAATAAGGCTGCAGCAAACAGACTAAGGTAATGAGCAAGCCAGCCTAGAAACACTCTGGCCAGATCAGGATAAGCACTCGGGCAGTGTGGTCCAGGAGAGCCACAGATCCATACTGGCCCCTCAGATCCTTCCAGCTAGATCTGGGATCTCACAGCTCCTCTCTCTCTGCCCCACAGCAGCCATCCTGCCCCCGGCTGTTTAATCTTAAAGGCCCAGTGGTAAATACTATCTCGGTTCAAACAGCTAATGGTTCCCTTCTGTCCACAGCAATGCTTCATATGCTGCTGAGCAGATTCACTTGTGAAATTTTTAAACAAAGAACCAGCTTTTACCCTAGATATACCAAATACTGTTATTTTGAGATCTACCGAATTAAATAGTCACTGGTGAGGTCTTGAACATGTGCTTTTATTCACTTATTTAAGTAGTTTTTGATATAGAGAGCGTGTGCTCACGAGAGAGAGAGAGAGAGAGAAATCACCCCGCAGTGGGAATGGCCATGCCACAATCTCTTCTCCTTCACTCTCCTCTCACGATTTTGGGTATGCATGCATGTATGCCTGGCATAATTTTTTTTTTTAATTTAATTTTGCCTGACATGATTTTCAAGCTGCCAGGTCTAGGACCCAAACTACAGAGCCAGCCATGTGGGATGCAGCACCTTTACCTCCACGTCACCTGCTGGTCCAATGTCACTCTTTTAAAGTGAACAATTCATGGTTTTAGAATATTCAGAATTGTTCAACCATCACTAATTTTACATTTTCATCACCTTTCCCAAAACCCTGTAGTACTCCCCCTCTCCAATTAACCACTAGTCTACTTTCTGTCTCTATAGATTTGCCAGTTGTGGATAGTTCACAGGAGCAGAATCACATAACGCATGGCCTTTGCGTCTGGCATAAGCTTTTCCAGGTCCATCCGCCGTGCAGCACGAATCAGGACTTCCTTCCCGTCACAGCTGAGTACGCGCCCACCTGTGGCTATACCACATTTTGCTTACCCATTCCATAGTTGATGGATACTAGGGTTGTTTCTACTTTTTGCCTGTTACGAATAATGATAAGTTTTCGTATGGACATGTGTTTTCAATTCTCTTGGGTATACACTATTGGGTCATCGGAAGAGTTAGGACATATTTTTCTTTTTGAGAGATTTTTTGCTGTAGGTTACTTGTGCTTGCTGGAGAGACAGTGAGACAGAAAGCAAGTAATCATCCCCCTGCTCCCTGCAGGAGGGACGGTCATGCCACAGTCCCTTCTCTTCCATTTTTCTCTTGGGGTTTTGGTCGTGCATGCACAAGCACCCAAGCACCCAGTGTGAGTTGTAAGTCACCGAGTCCAGGGCTCGAACTGCGGTCAACTACATGGGAGACCAGTGACATAAGCACTACGCCATCTGCTGGTCCCTACGATGTATTTTTTTTTTTTTTGAGAGATTTTCACTGTAGGGCGCGTGCGCTCGCCAGACAGACAGAGAGAGACATAGAGACAGAAAGCGAGAAATCACCCCCCAGGGGGGATGGTCACGCTGCAATCCCTTCTCCTCCATTCTCCTCTCGGGATCTTGGGCACGCACGCACATGCGCCCGGCGTGAGTTTTAAGCCACCGGGCCCGGGACACGAACCGCGTCGACTACATGGGAGTCCAGCGACATAGCCATTACGCTAACTGCTGGTTCCCCCTACGATGTATTTTTCTGTGAGTTTTTGGATGACCCAACAGGAGAAGAATTCCTGGGTCATATAGTAACCCTACGTTCCACCTTTTGAGGGAGTGCCACTGTCCTCCACAATGGCTGCACCGTTCACATTCCCACAGCGCTGTTGCAGTTTTTTGATCCTAACCAAGACTTGTTTTTATCTTTTTGATTATAGCCACCCTAGTGTGGAGTGGAATCTCATTGTGGTGCTTCTCATTTTTGTCATGATGACTTTGATTTACATTTCCCTAGTGATGAATGAAAAAGAACATTTTTTCATGTGCCTATAGGCCTCTTGTATATCTTTTTTTTTTTTTTTGAGAAATTTCTATTCAAATCCTTTGCCCATTTTAAAATCTGGACTAATATTTTCTAAAGCATAGCTACTTCGCTAGTAAAGATTTGATACCAGGTTAAAATTTTTTTTTAAGAATTATTTATTTAATTTTATTTATTCATTCATTTATTTTAATTTGGTCATAGAGAGACACAGAGAGAAAGTAGGAAAGGAAGCCACCAGGCTTGGGACTCGAACTGTGATTGGCCATGTGGGAGTGTCCAGCACCTTAACCACCACACCACCAGCTGGTCCCCCAGGCTGCAGTTTTAATGAACTGTCATTGGTAAACTCACCCATTTCCCATTTCCTGGTGCCTACCCTCTAGGCCCTGAGTGACAGGCGAGTACTGAACACCACCAATCAAAATGCCCATCTCCTAACTGAAGCTGACTTATCTACTAGTTTCAGGATTAAATGAATCTGGGTAAATGTATACACCATGATTAAGGAAACGACTGACAGAGCTTTAGACATTTGCCTTTTGAAAATGAGATCTTATTGGGAACCAGCAATTAGCGTAATGGCTACGTCACTGGACTCCCACGTAGTCGACCGCGGTTCGTGTCCCGGACCCGGTGGCTTAAAACTCACGCCGGGCACGTGTGCGTGCGTGCCCAAGATCCCAAGAGGAGAATGGAGGAGAAGGGATTGCGGCGTGACCATCCCCCCTGGGGGGTGATTTCTCGCTTTCTGTCTCTATGTCTCTCTCTGTCTGTCTGGCGAGCGCACGCGCCCTACAGTGAAAATCTCTCAAAAAAAAAAAAAAAAGAGATCTTATTAACCAAGTGTCTTCTCACTGGTAAAATTTAGGAGAGTTGAAAAAAAAGTTAAGGTAGCAGGGAAGCCCTAGTGGAGGCAGAGGGACCAACCAGTGTGTCAGAAGACAACCGATGAGGGAAGCTTTTCACTGTTTCTTACTTCCTTCTATGTCTGAACACATAGGTTCTCTAAAAACCTCAAGATTTATTTTTTCCTTTCTAAAACAGGGGTAAGTGTGAGAGGGAGAAGTGACAGCTTGCAGTGGTTAGTATTTTCTGTAAGAAAGTTTTAAATATTTAATTTGTGGAAAAAGTCACATTCTACTCCCTAGTCCCTGCAAGAGCTCTTGGTGCTATTCAGAACCACTAAATCTCTAGTTTGATAGTTAACGAGGGGTTTCGAAAGTAGGCATAATTAAGTGGTGACAGCAGCTCATCTCGATTTTGACTTATAAATTTGTAAATTAAAAAAGAAACTCAGGCCCAGTTGCTGTGGCCCATCAATAATGAAGGAGCCTTGCAGTGCTGGAAGCCATGTGGTAACTAGAGTTTGGATCACAGGTTGGCCTTGATCAGCAGGTGGCGTGGTGGTTAGGGAGCGGAACACTTCCATATGGCTGACCGCAGCTCCAGTCCCGGACCTGGTGGCTTGCTTTCTCACCCTCTCTCTCTGTGTCTCTCTCTGGTCAAATTGAAAATAAATGAATTTTGAATAAACACAAATTAAATCTTTAAAAACGAAACAAAACAAAACAAAAAACACGCTGGGTACACAGGCTCAGGATCCTAAGGAGCTGGAGGGCCAGAGAAAGAGGACTTTGGTGTGCTAAGACCCTGCAGAGGATGCTTTCTCTCTGCTTTTCTCCCTCTCTCGTTGCATGCATTTACATTTTATCATTTAAAGAAAAGGAAGAAGGAAGGAAAGAAAGGTTAAGAGGGGCCGGCCAGGACATAGTGGTAAAGCATGACGCTCTGCAAGGCTGACCCACATGGGACGGTTCCTGGTTCACATGCCGAGACTTCGAGTGTTCCAGGCATGGGTGCTCCTGCAACCCTGGGCTGGCTGAAGCTGGGGGAAGATTTTTTTTAGACCCTACTGGGGGTACTGTTTCTCTTTTTTCATGTTAGGAATAAATTTAACTTAAAAAGAAAACAAAAGGGGATATTTGGAAAAAAAGAAAAACACTATGAGAAAAAAAGTAATGCACATACCAGCATTGTTCATAAAAACCAAAACATGGACACGAATGTCCATCACCTGATGCATGGATTAAAAATATGAAATATCCACACAATGGATTATTATTTGGCAATAAAAAGGAATGAAATATTAATATACAATACAGTATGGTTGAACCGCAAAACAGGATGTCAAGTGAAAGAAGTCAGACACAAAAGGCCATGTACAGTCTGATTCCATTTATATGAAATTTCCTGAATTGGCAAATCTAGAGAAGGCAGGAGGTCAGAGGTTGCCAGGGGCTGGCAGGGACCGAGGGGAAGTGGGAGTGCCTGTTACTGAGTATAGAGTTTATTCGTGGGCAGCACAAATATTCTACAATCGCTCTGGGTAATAGTGACACACCTCTGTGAATTTATTTTTAAATACATGGTAATATAATACCACTGAATCATACACTTTAAATAGGCCTTTGAATTGTATGGCATGTGAATTATGTAACAACGAAGCTGCTATTGTAAAAAGTAATACATATATATTAGAAAGACTGCACCTGTTCTCTGTTTGAGAATTATAAATTACAATTTTGATTTCTCAGTTGACAGCATTGTCAGCCTGGCACCAAACACTGAGGTTTAATTGGACCATAAAAGGAGTTTCCTGTGAAACTTTACTATTGTTCTGAGGACCAGCTATTAGTAATTTTTTTACTAAAATGAACTAGAAATAGCCCCTTGGGAAATGATCACATTCTAGAAGATCAGGGGGCTATCAGGGCCCAGCACCCGTAGACTAAAGCAGAGTTCCACAGGACAGTTGGGATTTCTTCCCTGATTGTCCCTGATTTTTCTTCCCAACAGTCGTACCTCCTCAGCTAACCCTTTCTCACCAAAACAAATGGGAACTAGTGATCACTTTCCCCCCCTAGTGTGTGTACTTAACAGAGAGAGAGGGGCAAAGTGGGAAATCACCCACCCCAGGGGGAATGGCCACACCGCAGTCCCTTCTCCTCCATTTTCATCTTGGTGTTTTAGGCAGCACGTACACGCCCAGCATGATTTTCAAGCTGTCAGGTCCAGGACTCCAACTGCAGTCGCCCAGGTGGGAATCCAGTACCTTAACCACCACGCCACCTGCTGGCCCTACCAGTGACCACTTTTTAGCTGAGCAATAATTAGAATGAAAATGCCAACATACACCTCAAAGACTTGTTCTTGATAATAAGACCACATGAAATGAAGAAATCTGTACTAGCCGAAGAGAAACAAAAGCATTTAGAAACTCTCACCTTCATTATGTGGACATTCAGCATGTTCCAAGGCCGCATTTAACTCTTGCTTTAAAAACCACTTTCTAGAAGCATCTGAAAGAGCAGAAGCGTTCTTCTCGGATCTCAAATGAAACTCTTTTTCTTCAGCTTCCTTCCACTAAGGGAGTGAATGGAGGGAAGGAAATCACATAACGAGTGTGGTAATGCCAGTTCCTGGACTGGAATGAGCCTCTTCTGTTTCTCAGTGCCACTTTCCTTTCTATTCCCAGAGCACAGGGCCTGCCTGGTGTTAGCGTAACTAGCGTAACTGTGCTGCTCGGGGCTGCCCAAGAGCCCTGAAGGCAGAGATGGCGGCTGAGGGACCACTCAGTACTCAGTACCTGAACGCTGGGAGCCTGCAGTTGTGCCCAGGCCTGCTGAATTGACAACGCCTTTCCACGTGTTTCAGGTTCAAAATAAGGCCCGAATCTGACTCAGCTAGTTTTGTATAAATGGCAATTGAGGTTTATTTCATTTGAATGCTATGCCTTAATGATAAAGTCGACATAACTCAGAAAATAATTTCTGGGCCCCACTCTGGTACACGTGAGGACCACGGGAAGCCAAGGAATCCCTCTTATCCCCTTTCTATTTCCTTCTCCATAAAATGAGAAAAGAATTACAAAACTAACTCAGAGGGCAACTAAAATAAGAAGTTTAAAATATTGCATGACTTCTAAACTGTGCCAGTGTCCTAGAAATGCTATAGATTTTACATGGAAGCGCAATAATTTTGGTATGTTACAGAAACACTACTGCATTAAGTAACAAACCTTCAAAGACCACAAAATATGAGGGCCAGGGAAGACCAGCGATGCAGCCCTTTGGTGTTACTGAGGAGGGGACTGAGTCTGACTGATTCCCAAGGCCAGACAGTAGTCACTGTAGTAGCTTTGGAGTCCAGGACACTAACACAAAGGATTTCTGCATAATGTGGAAAGCTCTTGCAATGACACCTGGTCTACTCTCCAACATACCCTTTTACCCACAGTGCAACAGCACCCAATTCCACATGGTCTAGCCCTGTGCCAGGATCCTTACTCTGACGCTGTGGGTATCCAACACAGCCTCAGTGTTCTGGGCATCACCTCTGCCCCTCCCCCACCCCTTCCTTCCTATCCTTGAATGAAAGGGTTCCAAGATAGGGAGGGCCCCGTGCTGTTGGGAGGCACGTGAACCTGGGGACTAGTGACTCAAAGGGAACACACTGTGAGAAGCTACTGACAGCTTCCAGAACAGGCGTTATGGTTTAGCAGCAGGAGGAATGAACTGAAGTCAGCATATAGAACTCGATTTCTCCACAGCTCCTCACTGCCCTTAGGAACGTCCATGGTGCCCATGGCAATATCTACAGAGCCAAGAGTGGCTGGGAGATCAACCACGAGTCACACACGTCTGACATACACTCTTAGCTGCCTCTTCAAAATCCATTCTGATTCTTCTTTAGCACAGAATCTTAATTTGGGATGATAATGCTCCCTGTTAAACATACTATTCTGCTCAGTAAACTCTGCAGCCAAATGTGGCTAGCAATGTAACACGGGATCCTGAACGGCAGTTAAAAAGGAGTTAACTCGAGTGGGAGGAGGACATTTTGCACTTCTGCTCTGCCTTTCTGTGCTATTTAGAATGCATATGTGATGGCTGGAACCTCAGCAGTCATCTTGGATAACGTATCCTTGAGAATGAAGGCCTACACTAGCAAATAGAGCAGAGGCTGAAGGAGGCCTTTATTCCAAGGACCCCGAGGCATAGTACGAACCCTCGACTGCCTCCTCCAAACTTCTTCAGTGAAATAGAAGGACATTTCTATTCCTTCTATAGTCACTATTATTTTGGGCTTTGTTAAGAGAAGCTACATACAACTTCTACCTACTCAATAGCTTTCACATTGTAAGTATAGAAAGATAGGTGAAACAGTAATATTATCCAATCAGCCAAAACAAATCAGGCCAGTTAGGTGAGACACATTAATGTCAACGAGAAAGATGCTTAATGAATTTTAGATGACTTCTCTGAGAAATACCTATTAAAATTAGATTATCCTCTCTTCCAACAAAAATTACCTGATGGTTTTGTCATGTGACTATGTATTATTTCAAAATCCAAATGCTTAATACTAAAAAGTTAGAACGCGATTCTTACCTTCTTAGCTTCCTCCTCCTTCATTGCATTTAATAACTCTATTTCTTTCCTTCTGTTTTTCCGGAGGAGTTTGGCTACTTCCTGGTAACATTCATTTCGTTGTAGATCATCACATTTTTGTCTATGTAAAGTTTGAATTTGCCAGTCAGCATTTAGGCATGCTTGCTCAGCTTTTGCCAAGTTTTCAGCAATTACCTAGAAAAGTTGTACATTTCAGAAGCAAGTCAGACTATGTAAAATGACGGTACATCCATTCAATGTATCCAAGTATCTAGGGTAGTTGTCTGTAACTGTGGCTGCATGTCAGAATCACCTGGGAGTGTTTAAAACACGCTGACTTCCAGGCCTCACCATGAGACAATTAAATCAATCTCTGGGCAGTTGGGTATTGGTAGTTTTAAAAAACTTCAATTCTGGGGACCAGTAGGTGGTGTGGTGATTAAGGCTCTGGTCACTCCCACATGGCAGACCACAGCTGGAGTCTTGGACCTGGTGGCTTGCTTTCTCACTCCACCCCCCCCCACTCCCGTGTCTCTCTGTGGTCAAATTAAAATAAATGAATGAATAAACAAAATAAAATAAAAATAATTCTTTACAAAAAAAAAACCCTCTTCAGGAACCAGCAGTTAGCGTAATGGCTATGTCACTGGACTCCCACGTAGTCGACCACGGTTCGCGTCCCAGACCCGGTGGCTTAGAACTCATGCCGGGCGCGTGTGCGTGCGTGCCCAAGATCCCGAGAGGAGAATGGAGGAGAAGGGATTGCGGCGTGACCATCCCCCCTGGGGGTGATTTCTCGCTTTCTGTCTCTATGTCTCTCTCTGGCTGGCTGGCGCGTGCACGCG